GATGGATAGTCCAGCCACTATTGAAGGGTCATCTCACACATTGCAGCAGTCATGACAGGAATAAATTTCACAATGTAAACACCTATGGATGGTGATATCAACCGAACTGAACTTCATAATGTTGAAATGAAATATATGGCATAGCATGGTTATATGCTTCTTATAACAATATCCCAGCAATATCAAGGCGGGGGACCACACAAGTTGTTAAAATAAAAGTTTCTCTTACCAGCTTACAGGAGTGTAATTCAACCGTCAGGATTAATTTTCTGATACAAACATTTCTTAGCAAATTGACTTTACCGACACGTTTACACTAGTTTGCAGATATTTCACACATGGATGACGAAAGACGACCCTAATGAAATACTAAGAATCATTAAATTACTGCAGCAAGAAGCATGTTACCACCCACTACTTTAAAAACCAAGCCCATCTCTTGAACCATACAATGGCTATAATTGCTCAACAATTGCTCACAATGACTTGGAATTCTTTATACATGCCTTCACATAATTACACAACAAAATACCATGTCTTCCTTTCATAAAGGTATCGACTATATTATTAGAGTTAAAATACTGCCACAATAACCACTACCCTGGCCATGTTTCCATGTGATGGTGCAATGTTGCCAAACATCAATGCTAAATTGTTTAATCCCCGGAATCATTGTAATCACCTATTATTACAACCTCCAAACTTTTTGCTTCTTGCTTTAGTTAATAACAGGCTGCAAAAACACGTCCTGAACTACAAACAGTTTTGAGGACAATAGTATGCACGCCATCTGCTTGGTGCATGCTTCGTGTCCCAGTTGGTGTATACGGTGTATGTACGTCATACTACATCACTGTAACAGCTTGCAGTACAATCATCAATGCATGCATACGTTTTGTCCTGGTTTGTGTTGACCTGACATAATCATCCACAGTTGCCACAAGATCCAAAGGTTGCCGCCATACCTAATGGTTGCCCTTGTTTACTTACAGCTGAAGGTCACATGTGACTACTTCATGTGCAACAGGATAAGGGAAACAAAACAGCTCACAAGGCAAACATTAAAACTCAAACTCACACTACTGTTTGAAGCTTACAAACTTGCGTATGTCCATGTCTGAACTCAAGCCTCGGGCCATTTTTGCAATCAGACAGAATGCCTCGAACTCAGAGAATACATTATACCAGTACATGAAGATTTTGCTTATTCACCTTAATTTCTTTTTTGTCCCAAACTGTTGAATGAGAAAAACTTTAAAGTGCCTAATAATATTGTTTTTCTTCATGTTAAAATTGATTAAAAATATGGTTCACTAAGAAGGAAATACAGCTAAAATCAAGGTATTGTTTGTCATCTATTGACATGCAGTCTTTTTCTTATTTTAGTTCTTACTCTTTCTTTTTAGAAAATGTAATCAACTTTAAATATTTCATATTTCTTTTTTTAAGTGCATGTCTAATAATCTACCAAGTCCCTTATCATGCTTATGATCATTGCTGTTATAATTGTTCCTTTTATAACATAAAAACTAAATGATGATGATAGCTCAGATGACTTTTTCATACTATTAATTGCAACAAAACCTTTCACTGTTAATGTTATACAAAACCCACAACGTAACTTTACCTATCCAAATTAGTACAGTGGTAGACACCATTGGCCACATCAAACTAGTCTACAGCTCAGTTCGGACGTGTGGTTTATGTGAAATACCGGTACTTGGAATTTGGGAGAAAACTAGTCCCTTAGGGTGTTTTTTTTGTAGTCTCTGACTAATGGACTAGTAGCCATGTCAATCCCTGTATTATGTCAACTAAATGAAAGCAAAAAGATTTAACATAAAAAGTGAAAGTTCGGAAGACCTGACCCATGTACATGTAAGGTGATCTGTTAGTAGAAACACCAATCTGTAGATGAGCCATTAAGAAACAGAAGCACAATGAGGAGATCACAGGGGAGCTATTGCCTTGGTGTTTAGTGTGAATAATTCACGGGTCCAATGCCCTGATATTAAAGCCAACAGACACTTACATGAATAAAATATGCTGATGCCAGAGCTCCTGACTGGTGTTGTCGTATCTTATTCATATGTCAGTCATAAGTGGATATACTAAACACTGCTTCTCTAGCATGAATCGGCTTATGGCAACTGTTATCTTCTAAAACCATAGTCAGGCTGTAATCGTTTATTTCCTATCAATGTAAATTACACTCACCATAGTATATCATCTGAGCAAAAAGATTCTTATCTGAATAAATCTGATTAAGAGGTTCTGGAAAAGATTTTAGATGCGGCCTTTATTCAGTATCTGCTTATCTCATTTGTGTTTTCTGGTTTACTGGAATAATGGTTTTACTTTGCGGTTGTCATGGCAACAACCTTCATTAAACCAGGTAACCTTCTGTGTCCTTTCATCATAAAGATGTTAAGTGTGTACATAACCCTCTATGTTCCTCTTAAGTAAGCGACCCGTGAAGATTCCAGGGTAGAATAGGTCTTCAGCAACCCATGCTTGCCGTAAAAGGTGACTATGCTTGTCGTAAAAGGCGACTAACGGGATTTGGTGGTCTGGCTCGCTTAAGTCAATCACTGGATTGTCTGGTCCAGACTCGATTATTTACAGACCGCCGTCATATAACTGGAATATTGCTGAGTGCGGCGTTAAACAACCAACCAACCAATCTTAAGAAAGCACATGCTGCATCACTCAGACTACCTCAGCACAACTATATGTTATTTACTAGAATAAGAAGTGGGACTTATAATTTGCTGAAAGCAAGTCATACATTCGTAAATACATTAAAAAAACCATTCTAAATTCAGTCTACCATGAAACCATAGCTAGCATTACAGAAATCTTAAGAAAGTATAAGGAAAAACAGTGACATATTGTTGTAAGGTTTCTCCAGTATCGTTCGAGTGATACCTTATCGAGGTGTCACCCAAATACAGGCCCTCTGTAGGTCCATGTTCATAAAACATACAGCCCAATGGACGGCCATTAGTCCATTTAGCATGTTTAAGACTGACCATTTGGGTGTTAATATCTTTCCAGGAGGTAGGTGAAGTGTAGGTATGTTGTCAACATGCTTCAGGGAGGTACAATTTCTACTTTATGGGGCTACAAATCCGTGACAAATGGATTCTGAAGGTTTAGCTGATGGTCATAAAGTGACCTGGGGGAGTGGGGAGCACAACTTGTGGGTGACTCACTGAGCCAGGGACAATGTAGGTGAATGCTTTATAGAGTGTGGCAGCACATTGAGGAGGGAATTAGCATTACAACCAGAGCATGTATCTTACATAAAGGCTAGAATTACCACTAGAAATGTGTACAGACAGTTGGGTCTCCTAGGTTCTGTAGGGAGATAACATGGGGTCATATGGCTAGTAGGGTGTTATCACTGTTATCTCATGGCATTTCTAATAAAGAGCAGAGGCCAGGGTTACAATGATTGTGTGATAAAATTAATTGTCTAAAATTAATATTACATTTTTACAAAGGATTCCCATTTTACACCAAAAACTTTGGAACTTTTTAAAGAACTTTTATTCAATCTTTTATTTCATAAAAATAATCCATAACAACTGTCTACAAGTACAAAGTTGATTTTTAACGGCAAATCAGCACAGGTGTTATTTCACTAAAAATCATTCAACCAAATAATATATTCCAAAATTTGATATGGATATAGCTATTACTACATGATACACCAACTGTTCATTATTATATAATGGACTTGCTTGACAATGGTGAAGGACCTGTACCTTTGCCTTCTCTGTCCCTATCAAAAGTTGAGTAGTATATATAGGCTTAGGCCAGTTTGTATCAGCTACCTCCGACAGGGCATGCCAGTAATTGCGAGCCTTATCTTGCAGAAGACTTCCACTATCACAGACAGGATTTGGAAAGAGCCCAGGGCCAATTCCTCTTCTAAACAAAGGATTTAATTACCTATTGTCTCTGACCACAGAACAACAATGGAGCCAAGATGAGTGCCTGCTTGACTTAAGGTGTGTATGTGCCAACTTTATCATGCAGCCCCAGATAAACAAAGCCATGCTGTGGTGGTGATAAGACGCAGAATAGGAAACGGTATATGTCGAGTATTTGAGGATATTTAAGGAATTACTGCTTAACACCAACTTCATAAACCATTTCATAACTCTGTCGTCCCATGTTTCATAATAATGAGTATGGAAATAGAAAACACACATACAAATGATAATCGGGAATGGAATACATTTCTGTATTGGCATACATAAAAAATATTATCCAATGAACGGAAGAACCCCTTATTCAAACAGAATTACACATGTCCAGATGCGAACAATTTTCATAAAACATGTAAATCCCAACTTAACATAACCCAAGTAGCGATGGCGCAGAAGAGGCAGCCCTGTGATGACAGAACTGTGATAACCTGCTCTGGCAACACAGAGGTTCGGACAAAGAATAAGTCGCTATGAAAAAGTCTGTGATGTCTGCGGACTTGATCCAGGTCTCCACTGTGTCAATGTGTAAATCCTGATGTTCAGAGTCAGCCCTTGGATAAATATTAACTTTGGCCCTCACAAAAGCTAGGTCACGGCGGCATCCACGTTCTCAACCACCACTGCACCGCCATGAGTTTGTCTGACTGTTCCAACAAATCTCTAGGAGAGATACTGCATATACAAGCAGCTAGGAGCATTACAAGAGCATAATTCTGAGGCGAAAAATGGTTCCATTCAGCAGAGATAAAATTTGTGCATTGACTAATTAACAAACAAAATGCAAATAATAACATCATTAAGGTAATCATATCATAGATATCAAAATATATTTCGTAAGCATAAATCCCATTTTTAATAGAACTGAAAATGGATAATGATATGAATCAGTTGAGGAAAACTAAAAGTAATACTGAAAAAAATAACATGCATTAAAGCTAGGTTTCAGAAAGAGACATTGGCTGTCTAACAATTGATAACAGAGAAAATTATACTGAAGCTCACCTGCACAGCACTGTTGAGAAAGCAGTTGTTTTCTCCAGGTGCATTGCGCAAACCCTTGGTCTTGGAGAATGCAATGCTGTTGTGTCTGTCCCATGTGTCATAGTAGGGGTTCGGGCAGTTGGCGGGGAGATAACTCTCCAAGTCATCAGCAATGGTTGTCATTTTGGATAGAATTAGAAGATGCGTGCTTACGTCAAATCCATATCAATCTGAAAGAGGAGAAAAACAAGATTTTAAAACATAACTTGAAAACATGGAAAGAAGAAAAAAGTATCAAACCAATAGAAAATGTACAAACATCTTTTATTAATTAGTGTGGTTATAACAAAACACAAATATGAAGAAAATCAATACCTTTAAGTGACCAGCCTATTTCAAAAGTAAATGTTCTATCCTGCTTTAACTACCTCATTCTATTTCCATCACACTTTATCAAACCAAATGCTCAAAAATAATCTCAATAAATCAATAGCTCATTTATTCATGGCGTTGGCACCATGCAATACTATCCGAGGAAGACGGTTGTACTAGCACGACAACAATACGCCAGGCCAGGTGAGAGATTGTGTGATAATATCCAGGTAACCATGTGCAGGTATCGCTAACAGTCCCCATAACTGATATCTCAAGCATGGGGCAAAGCAAGGGGAGCTCTGATAGCCACAGAACCTGAGCTCAGCATGTGATGTTGTCACCTGCATATGACCAGCTACATTATTTCTTCTAACTCTTATCTTTCCTTTCCATCTCTATACTACTCAGCAGGATCATTCTCCAATTTTACAAAAACACATATTTCTATGGCAACATATGTTCTTCCATGATACAAGGAATGCTATATGAAGCATTGAGTCTCAACTTCAACAAAATATTATTAATGTCTGTCTTTTTGTACAAACTTAAACATTACTGGATAAGAGCTTTGAATTGCTAAACGTATTTATCAATTCCTGTTTCCAACAATAAAAGCTTGGAAATATCAGTTTTTATGCTGAATACTGTGTGTGTTCAGCCATTTTATAATTGGTCTAATGACAATATATTTTTTATACTTTGTACCTAGCGAAGAATTATTTAACATTTCTTTCAGTTGGCACGAGCATTCTTAAACAGAACTTTAAGACAAGCTGCCATGACTAAACACTGCCCAGCCAACCATGAGCTAGCCAGGTGGAAGAATACACCTGAAGTCCCTTTCAAGTTCATTCAAGCATGACTGTTGACCTGGTGCAGAACCAGTGGAGCAAGACCTGATCAAATCAAGTAGGTCATTATCACCACCCAAACTTCCACAAGCAAGTTATCACCTTGAAAGGGAAATATGCATCATCACTGTCATACAGACATGTTGACGTTCTCTGTCCATACAGGCATGATACAGGTGCATCATGCTCCTATACAACAATGAATGCACCAAGGTCATGACGCCCTACGCGTGCCTGTCAAAATGGTTCTAAAAATATCACAATGACAGTTTAATGCCCAAGTACGAACTAACCTCTCAATTGAATCTCATCTAAACTAGCTGAAAAGACCCGGATCAGGAATCCTGAGAAACAGTCAGCTGATAGTTCAGGTCTAACATAGATGTAGGTATATAAAAAAATACCTATCTGCACACAATGTACTTCACTTCTCTAAAGCCCTCCACAGGTATATTTGTCAAGCCATATAGAAAGGCTCCACCCACAACTCTGTGACACACAGTGACGTGATGGGATTGGTGTAGCGTAGACATGTCAAGCGTGGGTTGGTATGGGGACCAGTGTACAAAGGTGCACTGTCACACTCACCGTGGCTATGATATACACTTTAATACTCCCCATGGCTATGATATACACTGCATACTATATCATACACGCTGAACAAAGAATCGTCAAGTTACAACCCAACAGTCAACAATTGAGTATCACGGTATTCAACCCTAAAAACATTTTTCCCAATTTCATCTCTGATTTGTCACCTAAAGTATCCCATAAACAGCAAGGCTTTCATAAGTGTCTCATTACAAAATAATAGGACAGATCTAACACTGCTAGCACGGCTAGAAAAGAAAACTTCAGATATTCTTCAGAAACCTGACTTACTCCACACAATGTGAAACTGACGGAGAAAAGAGAAATTAATTTTTTAAAGTAAAACTCCTGTCCTTATCATTGTTACTCCATACAAACAATTCAAACATATTTGTTGAATATCCAGTTTTGCAAGCCACACTAAACCTATAAAAAAGCACACAAATTCAACCAACAAACCTGTCCTTACGGCTGATCTCTGGTATATATTTTGTCTGGTCAGGGCACACAATTAGTATTACATAAGCAGTATATGTAAGCATTAGTCAAATAACCATGGCAACGTATCATCAGTGCTGATAAAATACACCATAGCATCGATCTGTAGTGTGATACTGGCTGTCAAGGCTATCTCCCTTATCAGATGCACTCCATGCTGACAACCATCACCTGACAACACATGATGTAAGCCTATGAGGCATGCAAGATAAACAATTTATCTATGGAACCAGTTTTATAAGCAAATGATAAGTTCCTTCATCATCTTATGACTTCAAATTTTGAAAACCTTATCAATTGTATGACATAGATTTTTTTTGTTTAGTATATTAACTGATAATTCTGATTACTCATAACTTAAAAAAATGTGTCCCGCCCTTGTCCCTCTTATCTCCTCTCTACTGGAATTACCACACTAAGAATAAACAGTCATATTAGTCATAGTACGCAACATACTTAAATCTATACATACTATATACTTTTCTCGAAATGACAATTCACACACGTCCCTTGTGAATACAAATAACTTGTTCCGAAACCGACTATGATTATTGTCTTTTTCTTTGGCATATCAATGGAACAAAATATATTTAAAATCAGTGTTGAGCAACGAAAATGAAAATGGCTCCATACCATATAATTAGACGAATGAAAAAGACAGTGCTCATTTATTGATCAGTACTCTCCAGTTGGACGTTGATGCATGTCAAGATTATCCCAGCTATGACAAGAATCTTGTGTATGTGTATTATACTGATGTTAAATCAATAACGGTGATTAACAAAATGGCAGCCACAGGTAGTTTGACCAATGGAAAAGCTGGAATGACAATTATCCTGAATAGTCAGTTTGTAATTACCTACACTGAAAATTCCTCCCAGGGGATTAAGACTGGACTAACATACCCTCCCTGACAGGTATGACACATCGTTAATTAGTTGGCGGTCTTGTCATTACTGCCAATTGATCAGGTGATGTGCAGGTCACCTGAGATTGTGATTAATTACATACTATTCTCCAGAGATGATATCTCCATCAACAAATTCAAAATATGTGGTTTAACGTCTTGCATAAAAAAGGAAATATTTACCTGGACCTAACAGATTAAGGGGTAAAGTCACATGTAGAGTACAGCAGACCTCGAGTAGCTGGTGACCATTTACTATGTTTACAGGTGTACTGTTTACGTTATAAATCTAAACATCATGACTCACCCTTGTACCCATAAGTACCCAATGAAAAATAATACCCATGTTTACTTTAAAAAAAGAAGTTTCATATTGAATTATTAGTCATATAAGATGACAGACAACTTTCAAAAGCAGTCATAATTCAAATACTTAAGTTAAGCTTTGCAAGTTTACTGTTACCGTCCTACCTGAAGTCTAGGACAACAACAGAATGGACTCAAATCATCCACCATACACACTTTTGTGTATCATTATCCAGGTAAACGTGGTCGTCAACAGGTGTCACCTGTGTAGTTATGATGTAAATTACTGGAATTATCAGGTAATAGTCTGACAGAATCTGCATCATCATGTCCCAACAGAGTGAGATCAGGAGAAGTGAAGCAGCAGCTCTGGCCTACATAGGAGGCCTAGTACGCACACGCTACATCCCCGACTGATGCTTCTCGCTCTACCAACTCTTAAGACCTTATTGTGAAGACGGCCGTCACGTACCTGGGCCATGATTCATAGACAGAACATACCCATTACTTAGGTATACAATGAAATCATGATACAGATGGTGCCATTCCTGGTGAAAATGTCGGGATTGACTAAATTGTGGTTCAACAAATATGTTACTTTTCTATGTTAATTTCTTTTGTGTTTATATACTACTCAAGAAAAGTTAAACAGTTGTTAAAGAACACCCAAATCTTTCATATATCTTTAGTGAATCTCCCATGGCAAATATGGTTTCACTGTATGTGCCAGCATTAACATTAAATTTGACCCCATACATTGTAAAACCTAAAAAAATGTTTGTTCAATCATGATGGTGGACAGGGGCAGAGGTTCGTCTGAATGATGTAAACATTTAACCTACCAACTGTCATTCAACTACAGAAATATCTTTTCTCATCAAAAGAACAAACAAAAGCAAAAAATTTCAGGTATAGCTTTCATGCAATCCCGTTTTTCACATTTCACATTACTTTACAAAAAGTACTGTTGAATTATCAAAGGGTTTTGTTTCAATCAATCATGTTTAGAGAATAGAATGATAGTTGTCATGAAAGGCAAAACAAACAAGAAGCTGTTTGAAGAAGACAATGGGAATTGATTAAGTGTATGTCATTAGGGCACAATTAGTTCTAAACAAACTGTAGCTTCTACAGCTGCAAGGCTTGTAATATTACAGAGACCCTGGTTGATAGTAATCATACTTAGCTGCCTTTCAACCCACTTATTAGAGTGTGTCCGAGAAGCCTGCACTACCTAATCCTCCTGAAATCACCACGTAAGAGGGTATACAATCCATAAATCTTCAACGATAAGAGAGGATAGCATGTCTTGACAAGATCTAGCCTTATCAATGTCACAGAAGAAAAAGTTTCAATTTAGCTATCTTGTATTGGGTTTGTGTTTGGGCTGTTACAAACATGCTAAGCTCTGGCTACTGACAATCCCCTTTGGAGTGACACTGGTCAAACGTTCTACATGTGAGAACCCTGTGTTGACAATTGTGTGGGCAAGGGGCCAAGTCGGACCAGGGCAGAATTATATTCCATATCACATTAGTGCGTGTCAGGTAGCTTTGTTTACATACTGAGGCCCTTCATGTCAAAATATCCAAATCTACAAACAACCCCAATCGCCAGATCACGCAAGTGTATTTCAAGCTTTTTGTACAACACAAAAGCACATAGTGAGATCAGTCACACATTTGTGTAAACAATATTTCTTCATACCCTGGCTATGTTTTGTAGTAATAAATCTTTTCATTATCACAGCTCTGACAGTGAGAGGTTTGTACCACTGGGCTTGTCACACACAAGGCCTTACATCAGGATTCAAAACATAAACATATTTATTTCTTCATAATCATTGTTTTTTTGGTTATTCCAGCACATACACAAATATTTCATGACAGCACATGACAGATCAAACATAAAACTGAACACTAAAAGTTGTATAATTTGGCAAACATGCGAAAATAAAGCTCAAGAACTTCAACATCAGTATTTATCAACTTTTGAAAGAGAACTTTGGGGCCCTCAAGAATATTAGGTAATTCAATGCCCATGCTGTGGTTGATTTCTTAGATCTCTTCGGTTTTGGATAGTTTAATTCCTTTGAGAATTTGGAGAGTAAGGCTATTAGCTGCCGCCCTTCTCCATCATCAGTTTATACTGACCAAAGCATCTTAGATGCGATGGTTTTATCACTGTTGTAAAGACACCATTAACCGCTGCTTGTTTGATATTGATTAAGAGTAAGGGGTAGATAGCTGTGGAACTGATTAAGAACCAATCATCAAAACCATGTACTGTAGACACTCTGCATCTTTCAAAACATAGGTTTTATAATTGCTTGACACCTGTCATCCTGCAACATCAGCATAACACAGGGCTTTATAGCAAAATTTAGATCAAGAAATGCACGAATTTTGGCAAAAAGTCCTGTTTTGTAACTCATAAACAGAGTGTATTCAAGCTGTAAAATATTCTGTAATTGGCATCCCAAGCTGGAAGTGGATTCCCCAGCCATGCCTCTGTACAGCAAGATCGGGATGGAATATGTATGATTTCTGCTAACCTGCTCAAGACAACTACACTACGTACTTAAATCATGAATAAATACAACAAGTTTACTTTGAACTCTATGCATGAAAATATGAGCCACCCTGCTCATGCACATGATCTTTTGAACACAATCTGCCTTCTAGACTGACAAACACGAAAGCCACAGTTTGAGTTGGCCAATCCTACGATCACGTGTGTCTTGGTCGTGCCAATTTCTTACTGAATTCTCCAGCAAAGAACAGAAGTAAACTTGAGACACAAAATAGGACCCAATGCAGATCTCACTGCTCCTATCAACTAGCACACCTGCACGTAATACCCCCTGGAGAGTAGTCACACAAAATGGGATTTCCATCTTGATAAGGACGTTTGTCAACGTTCCCATTTTCCATGATTTCCAACAATTTACTTTTTTCTACAATTAACATGAAATTTGATATGCAGCTTCCAATAGAAGAGCCTTGTATCTGATATTCATGTACTCTTTTTCTCAGCCATAAGTAGAATCTGTTGTCAATGTTATTTTTCATTTATTTCTGTGTTTGACTTTGAGTATAGTGTTTTCCATAAAAACATTCTACAGCAAGACTGGTTCATGAGTACTACCCATACACATTCTAAAACCATTATAAACAATTTTAACACATCAACAAACTATCATGATCAAGGGAACTTGTTGCATCATTAAACATCTCAAGCTGTCTACCACCTGTTGTACCAAAATTTACATTTCTTACATTAAGATGAAGGAAATATCAAAAAGCTGTCAAAAGAAACAAAAAACTAACAAAAACCTGTCTCCTCTATTTACATAAATTACCATCAGATGAATACAAGGGGCCAAGTCTCCCACAGATCAATAATCCTTGTCTAATTTGCAATGCAGTTTTGGTAAAGAAATGTTTCAACAATGTTCCCCAATGTGTTACAATGCAATACAATAGAGAGGTGTTATGAGTTATACAGCACATGCCCTAACTTGCCACTGTTACACACACTATCCAGCTGACTGGGTAGCTATACCATACATCCGTCTAATTAACCAGATCGTGATGTCCCTTTGCACTTGGGTAGCAGTCCGGTGAGACTAAACACCTGGGTGTATGTTCCTCTCTTTGGGATTTGTGAGAGTTGATGAGCAGAATGGCTGATGAGGATATGTAGGTGGGAATCCCATGGGGAAGTCACATTCATCCTTCATTATTTACCTGTAATCAGGCTTCCTTTTGCCCATTGCTAATCACCTATCAGCACCAATTATCTGTTGACCCCCCTCCCCCGTTAAGTTTACACCTTTGTTATCTTTTTACATTTGTTGTTCTTCCAGGTACATACGGATGTTCTCTGCTTCATAGCATTTATAACCTGACGAAGGAGTAAGTAATATACTCCAAAACGTGTTCATCATAATAAAGAAGTTGTCATCCATAAATTCTCTTCCGTGTGTGTATCACTTCTAAATGCCTTGCAAAGACTTGTTATCGGGCTGTCTTCACAACATGCACAAGGGGGCAACTTTTTGACAGGTTGTACCTGGATTTATCAACTTAAGGAAGTAATTCCATATCACACTGTTGATATCACAGGGTTAAGACAGTACTATAAAGGGTACTATAACGTAAGTAGGTGGTTTTATAAGTTATATAACCTTTGAAAGATGTAAGAAACGAGATGGAAGTTAATTGTGACACTGAATGATAAATGTGAGTACATTCAAAATTATGAATCTAGAATGTAAGTTAACATGCTTGACACGGCAGATGTTTTAATCTTTGTCCCAAATTGAACATAAAAAATATCTAACTAAACCAAAATAAAATATACTGAAATACAACATGTACAGTTACTTTTATGATGTTCCTAATTGCATGAATAGTTTCATTTTTTAGAAGAATTACCCATCGATCCTGATTTCGTAATATTTGCTGATTCTGTCCTAAAATGATGAACTAGTCATGGAACTTTTTACTGCAAGGTACACGATATCCGATTTTGAGATGACTTTTACTAGCATCACTAGCTTACAAAAAGTTGTTTTAACTGAAAAAGAAAGTATAGTCCCCTGCTTTTATTCAGAGTCAACAACACAATGAGTAAACAAATGTTACTAAAAAATACAGATATACTAACCAGCAAGTTTTTTTCTTTTAAATAATATGCATATAAACAAAATCAAAGTAAATGTTCACAAAATTGTTTGATGGAAAAATAGTACAATCGCAAAAGACGCGTAGTAGAAGTTGTGTATTCCTTCTAAACAAATAGGCCTATTATTCTGCACTGCAAGCTTCACTTTCCGATCCGAGTGAGCGCGTTCAATGGTATAAGATTATAGCATAAAAACATTCGATGCAAAGCCTAATTAAGTCAATACATCACTGAAAAGCAGCATTTCAAAACAAAATATTGTACAGTAGTGTGTTCAGGTTTTGCGATACGGACTATAGGGATCTGGCATCTACCTGGATCTGCCTACCTGGCTTCACGGGCTAAAGGTAGTCCCGGTCCTGAATACTATACGTAAACAATGACCCGTAAACATAACACACTTGAGAAACACGTTGTCCCCCCTAAACTTTCAAATACATTGAAATATAAAATTTTGCAGAAATACCGTAGTTGATAAGCGATTCGAACGCCAGTCGTTGTAATTCACCTGGGAGGGCGTTCCGACTACCTGGCATCGCACTACGTCCATCGTCGGCTCTCCTTACGTCCCATGCAAAACACCGCTTCCCACGTGCAGGTAGCGCTTATGAAATACACTTAAATAACAAAAACACAACTTACCCAATTTTTCCACGAAACACAAAACACAGTAATATCCACTCTCGCGAAAGTTGCCGAAGTTTCCCACTTGTTGTGGCTGTTTGATGTCGTCCGCTAATCAACAAGCCCTACTAGCGCCATCAGGGGCTATGCAAATGAGCGCGGAAGGATTCCTACATGACTCACGGTGGGGAACAATACGTGACGTAGTAGAAAGGTATTGTGTGTTGTTTGGCAACTTAGTGCGCCCTAAAGCTTCAGTTTGCGCTGGGATGCATTTGCGAACATCCTATATGCACATCACAGATGTTTTTGCTAACTGTATTTTATCCAAACGCACCATATCAAAACAGCTGTAGAAGTGTCACTTTGATACTCTCACCTGAGCGGGAGATCCCGTTATCAGGTGGCGGCGGTGATTAGGCCAAGGTGCGCCTCCATTGACGGAGCACACACTACTATACCGACATTTGCGTGACGGGCACACAGCTTTAACCGGCCACAGGAAACGCATTTCCTCTCGTATACCCCAGTGGACGCTTTGATTGATGCTTTATAGGTTTTGATGGCAGGCCTGGCTTGGAAATACAACAATCCCCTTGCTGTTAGTTGTAACAGAGAATCGTTAGGCTTAACGATACTTTAAGTGCTTTTACAAAAGATCGATTTAATTGTAAAATGGGTTCATTCACTTAAACTTTCCATCGATCCCTGTATATAAACCATCTACTATGAATTCTTAAAACATAAATAATTTTTTTAAATTTCAAAATGGAATTCCATTAAAAATGATTTTTTCAAAGGTTAGTAACAGTGGATTAATTGAAAGACAATAAGTAAAAGCAAAATTATATTTTAAATTTTAACTACTTGTAGATAACACAGAAACCAGTTTAGCAGAATGATAATTTGTAACTCGATGGGACAGTCGCATTACCTAACATATGGACAGATGTCCGCTTTCTGTTTGCCATGCTTTTATAACCGCACAGCATTATGTGTATATAAATTGCTTATCGAAAACGTTTAATAATCGCAAGAAAAGCTTTGTTAAATAAATATTTTAAAAATGTGTATGTCACTGTGTCATTGCCAGAGTACAAAACATTACGCAGGTCGTTCTTTGGCAGCGTGACATTCAAAGTGAAGCGTTCATTAAGCATGCATAAAAAATATTTAAAAATATCATAATTCAAAGTTGAATCCACATCGCCTTGACCTAATGCACAATTACCCGAGCTGGGTAACCACCTCGAACGGTAATGTTGATGTGTGGTTTAGACCGAAGATAAATCGATTGAAAAACTGTATGCACCATTTGTTTTCTGTTTACGTTAGAACTAAAAGCGGTAAACTTCAAAACGTACAGCTGGATAAGTCCTACAAACTTTCTCCCTTATAGTCAGTAAAGTAAATATTGACACTGGGATTATCCGTCATTAAATGCAGCCCTAGCTGAGCGGCTATAGGTTTACAACCTTACATCTCCCGTACATGGTTCCTACACAAATATTACGAGTAAAGACTGATTACGCTTATAGAATACAAAAATAAAGAAAAGTAGCAGTTTGGTCGGTTGTAAAGTTCCAAACGATTCATTCATTCACAAAACCGTTTAAATGTCAATCACGCGACCCGCTACCCTTAGTAAACAGCAGAGTCCGTGTGTTTTAACTCCACCATAACAAAGGCTGGGCTGAAAACGACCATTTCGGGTGGTTTAATGACGTTACCATAGTAACGATTACTCTAATTTGACAGTAATTACCGACTTCAACGACCTCGGTTAATGATTTCATAAAGGTTTCTAGTTTTATAACTGTCTCTGCAGGACGTTTCCAAATAGCCGTAAAGGTTTCTGTTTTTGTTACCTTTGACGAACCTATTATTTTGGTCATTCAACGAGACGGGTCATCGACCTGCAACTGTTATAATGTTATAGGGGCAAGCCATTATTAAGGACGTGAGGAATCAATTGACCTGTAGAACAAAACGCCCTCAAATATTTCTTCCATGAATACATTTTTATTTATAATAGATGAAAATGATTACGATATTACTTTATTTAAACGCGTCAAACTGGTGTATACTTTTAAACCCTAACCCATCAAAGTTGCTGTATGGTCAACGTAGATATACACAGAAACACAAGTTATGCCAGATTCTAAGCGGACATATATTTTTAAAGTGCGAATTCGCTTCGCGGTGTTGTGCCATTTCGTTTTCAGCCAAGTAACGTTTTGTTAAAGTTTGTATATATTTTTTTGTAAATCCAGTTTTTAAGTTATTATTATTATTATTATTATTATTATTATTATTATTATTATAAGAAAAAGAATTAAACTGTCTGGAACTTGTCAATTTGCCCGAGCCTTTACCCCTTAAAGGGACATATACATTCACAAATGACATCATGTTCATGATTTTTTTTCAGCCAAATCGACCGAAGTGTATCTTAGTAGAGATTTATGGGTCAATCTACCCTGTACGTAGTATACAGTGGGGCGACAACAGTGTGAGATATAGCCAGGGCATTTATATCTCATGAAAGTCACTTCTGATATGGTAACTGGGGACACGGGGTATGGTGTAGGCTGTTCTACTACTAGTATATATAAACTGCCGGGCAAAAGAAAGTATACACCCATGTCTGATGCTGGCTAAAAGGAAACCAACAAGAAATGACCATTCGATAGTGATGTATTTGATACGAGTATCATAGTTGTGTTTTGGACCTTGCTTTGACAGTGTTTCGTCAACTGTTTCAGTATGTTTTGATAGCGATTGTAATATTTTGGCCAAATTAAGGTTTCAAGAGTGTACTTTCTTTTGCCCGGTAGTTTATGTATCTTGCAGCCTGATACAGCAGTGGTGTCCCCACCCCTACCTACCCCTTCCCTCACGACCCTTCAAGCTGGTCACACAACGACGTGAGTATTTCTCCTACCATCTCTGTTTGCAGTAGATAACGACGGTTCTACCTGCACGGCCCTGTCATAAGCTGTCAAACTTGGGGATTACGTGCGAGCGGGGAGAGTCTTGAGAGTGGTCTGTGCATTGTATGGCGACTTCGTGTATTTGATGAAGATAACAAACGCTGTTTGATCATCACAGACTGATGTGATGTGATGTATTGTGTTCGTATATTGGTAAATATGTCAAAACTGTGGTCAACACTCAAGTACACTTAACCGTAGAGATATTGTAGTGGCGCTTCCCCAACTTCAAGTTACATAAACAGTTTATCAAATGAAAAACGGTTCCGAAAACCGCTCAAATTAGCCTTTTCGACACACGAACGCCATACCAGTACATTAAGCGTTGTAAAGTAAACAAAATGCATGTGTTGAAATAAACAGTTTATCATTGATACGAACACATTTCACTACCTTCGTAACGATTTCTATACGTTTCGCTCATTCCTTATTCTGCACTTGCTGTGGACCAAGATTAATCATCCCCGTGAACTTGAAATGAACTAAATTGTTTGATAAATACGGTCCCTGGTCACCTCAAATTTTAAGTTCCGATGTTAATACCTGGAGCAGAAAAAACTACTTAACTAACTCGTAGTAGGATTTTTAAACTCCATGTTTACAAATAATCATTTTGTGCGTTTAAACTAAAATCAAATTAAACATATCAGTACTCAGTAAGCTACGACTACTTACGCTACTTGTCGCTGATCCATACCGGGACTACTTTCATGTCACGCTAGACCGATAATAAACTCATACCTGTGCCATGTTTTAACTGAGACTTAGAAGCATCTGTAAGATTTAGGTTTTGGTGAAATAAAACAAACACGTCTTCTCAAGGTATTGATCTATTCTAAGTTTTGTTTGTCTACCTTAATACAATCAGCTGCAGTGTTCAGTACCCAAGCGTTTCTATAAGCATCACAAGGTCTGGCCAGCCATTGTTGTGGGGCGATCTTCATGTCTCTAATAAACTCTTGTTTACATTGTATTTACTTACACTTTCTTTTTGACACCTCTGACAATGGGCCCGGCTTGTGGATGGGTTGTTTGTTGTTACTGGGCGTCACGCTATACCTGGGGACGCAGGACTTCCTCAATGAGCTGATTACTCAGGTGTGTCTTATATACTATATAGACTATAGGTAGCAGTTGTAGTAAAATAACAGCTTAACTGATACAAACTGCCGGGCAAGAGAGAGAATACACTTGTACATTCACGCTTCACTCCGCTTATAACCGTATACTGTGGATTTGCGACCCCGGGGGTTCCTGTGAGACGTTTTGTGTGCACGAGACTGGTTGTGAGATAATCATTGATATGATGCATGTAATATCGCCTATGATACCCGTATTAAATACGTCAACAAAATATAACCATTTCTTGTTTGTTTCTTTTGTGTGTATACTTCCTTTTTCCCAACAATTTACTCTGATAGTTACACTCATCTGTTCCTGCGCTGTATCTGTACTTTTTTGTTGGTTTTTTTCGTCGTTTTTTTCAATACATAACACTCAACATAACCTGTGTTTGTATAAGTGAATATGACCCGTACATATATTGACTTTCCAGAAATCTACTACTGTAATAAAATGTTTATTTATGTGTCACGTGCACAAATGGTTTAACATATTTTTATTTCGACTGGAAATTGGGATTGGTAAGCAAGACAACTCTTATTTTAATGGCTTTCCCTGTATACAAAAAATCAAGTAAAAAATGCAGGAAGCAGTACAGATGTCACACATAATAACCAACCGATCCTCATTAGCTATAGTCGACCCTGGGGACCTGTTCTGACCCGGAATCGCACAGGGAGACAAGCATGGTGTACTGTTGACCTGTTCTGACCCGGAAGAATCCCCACAGGGAGACAAGCATGGTGTACTGGGGACCTGTTCTGACCTGGAATCCCCACAGGGAGACAAGCATGTGGTACTGGGGACCTGTTCCGACCTGGAATCCCCACAGGGAGACAAGCATGTGGTACTGGGGACCTATTCTGACCTTGAATCCCCACAGGGAGACAAGCATGTGGTACTGGGGACCTATTCTGACCTTGAATCCCCACAGGGAGACAAGCATGTGGTACTGGGGACCTGTTCTGACCTTGAATCCCCACAGGGAGACAAGCATGTGGTACTGGGGACCTGTTCCGACCTTGAATCCCCACAGGGAGACAAGCATGTGGTACTG